GTCGCACGCGCCTTGCCCGGGCCCCTCCCCAGCCACCCCACGGGTTCCACGTTCCCCTGCCAGGCGCCAGCGGGTTGCTGCCTTGTGCTGGTACTGGGTGCCCATCAGCAGGGGTCTCGCAGACCCCCCAAAGGGGGAAAAGGGCCAGCAGAGAGATCCCGGCATCGCAGGAGAGGAGAAACGCACTGCGAAGAAAACAGGCAGCAGGTCCTAAAGAGGCCCAGGGCACAGCAACCTGACTCCCTCGGGACTTGGAGCAAGCCTGCAGTGCCCTGGGGAGCGCCCACGTGCATCCACGTGCGAGCCAGACCAGTGAACATGCCACCTCCATCCAGGGACATCGAGCAAGGTGGCTCATCCACCCAGATCCGGAGCACAGACACCTCAGCACAAACCCAGCCCAGCCGCACACTGCATTTCATGACGGAGCCTGACCTGACTCCCTCGGGACTTGGAGCAAGCCTGCAGTGCCCTGGGGAGCGCCCACGTGCATCCACGTGCGAGCCAGACCAGTGAACATGCCACCTCCATCCAGGGACATCGAGCAAGGTGGCTCATCCACCCAGATCCGGAGCACAGACACCTCAGCACAAACCCAGCCCAGCCGCACACTGCATTTCATGACGGAGCCTGACAAGCCGAATCCTCAGCACAGCGTGCCACGGGCACCGGCCCCATGCCCGGCTGAGTCCCAGCGGCACGAGTGAAACCCCAGGCACGAGCAGACGCCGTGGCGTCGAGCCCAGCACACACATCTCCAGCTCACAGAGCCCAAACCCAAAAGGTGACCCACTCTCAAGCCGAATCTCCACGTCTCTCTCCGCCACCATCCCCGCGCAGCACCACCAACCACCGGCTCAACCGCCTTATGCACGCCGGCTACAGCGGAGATGCACACTGCTGCAATTAAAATGCATCCTAGATAAGAGTGTGGCAATTAGCCAGCGCCGGCGGAGGAGCCAGTGCTAATGCACAGCATGGATTTCCTCATTAACAAACACAAACACAATCGATCCCGCAGCACAGATAAATAGGTCAGGGGGCTGGACGATCACCTGGCCAAAGGCTCCTGGGGGAGTGCCCAGCTCTCCTCCTGCCCTGAGGAAGGAGTGATCTGCTTGAGCCCAGGGTCGAGCCTCTCGCTTGCAATTTGGGGCTCAACTTGCATCGGAGGCTGTGATCAGTAGAGGGGGGAAGAGGCAACGAGAGATGGGCACTGGACAGGCTGCCAAGGCAGCTCCATCCACCAATCCACCCAGCCTGGCTACCCGCTCTGCAAGTGCACGAGCGCTCCCCGAGTCATAGAAATGCAGAGGCCAACACTACTGACCCTCAAAAGACAAAGGAACCCCAAGAAGCTTCCCCCTGCAAAACAATGCAGCATTGGTTGCTTTATGGCTGCTATCCATCCTTTATGGCTGCTCCCATCACTCACCTGCAAAGGCTTTGGAGATCCGCTCCTTCTTCCACTCCCAGGGCTGGTCGTACTCCTCAGGTGGCCGCTCGTCGTCCTCGGGCAGCCGGGACTCCCTGGGTCTGGGGCAAGCAGGGCGGTCACTGTCCATGTCCAGCCCTCCAAGCACGGGCTCGTAGGGGGTGTCGTAGAGGTGCAGCGGCCGGGCCGGAGCCTCCCGTAAGCCCTTCTGGCGGATCTCTAGCCAGAGAAGAGGGAAAAGACCGTGAGCTTTTTGCCCAACAGAGCCTGGCCATGGTCCCCAAAGCCCTGCTAGATGAAAGGGCTCAATTTCACCCGAGGGTGACATGGGGTAGGAAGAATCAGTGGTGGAGGAGATCCCCCAAGCCTCCAGCAAGCACCTGCCAGAAGCGGGGGAACTGCTGGGCAGCGGGGTCCCAAGCAGTCCGCAGCACCAAGATGCCTTCTCTCCCCACGGTATAACATCCCCACTCATGGGCAGCCCTGCAAAGCAGGGTCCATGGGGACAGCGCACCCCAGAGCCTGATTCCCTGCGAGCAGCGAGGCCAGGTTTCTTCCCTGGACCCCAGTGTGGCTAGTTTAATAAAATGCCCTTCCCTCGAACAAAACAAAAGTCTCTCTCACAGACATAAGCAGCCTCTTTGCCGCTTGCCGATTTTTCCAAGAAATGCAATGGTCTAGTCCAAAAAGCCACATGAGCTTTCCAGAAACCACTCGCTCCAGGAAAACCACGGGACTGCAAAGCAGAGCCAGAGCCTGGAGCGCGCAAGCCGGCACAGCGACCCTGTGTGCGCCGCAGCGGCAAGAGCAATGCCTTTGGGAGCACACGCTCTCACCTCGCCTGCTTTCCAGCCATAAACAAGCCCGCTGGGGACCCCGCTGCTGCGGCAGACAACGGCACGCTCCGGCCCAGTCCTAACTGAATTAAATAGCTCCCACATCCACCTTCATTTTATGCCAGACGCATCGAATGTCAGGTCTCTCCTGGCCCAGCCTGGCGGGCAGGCACGGTGGTCCTGGGGGGCTGCACCGCAGGCAGAAATATCAAGGTGCCTTTATTGCTCGGGTAGCCTTTGTGAGTGCTCTGGCTATGGCAAGCCCATCACACACGGCTAAAGCTGTGAAAATTTGCCTGCACAGTGGCTGTGCCCCACCGCAACAATCGCCCAGGTTTGCCTTGTCTGGAGGACCTGGTGCTGTCACAGGCTGCAAGGAACAGAGTACAGGGGCCACCAAATTCACACAGCAGGGATCAGAGGCGCAAAGAGCGGCCTTTGCACGGAGCCTTCCACCTTACCAGCCATCATTTTCTGGGCTTCATATGGCTCCATGTATCCATCGTTCTCCATCACCTTCTCCAGTCCTGCCTGGCTACCAGCCACCTGCGCCGCATCGAAGGGATCTGCGTAGTCCTCCAGGACAGCCAGCTGGAAGAAGGGAAGGGTAGGAGAAGGGTTAGGGTACTCCCTGATTTTCTAGGGGGGGTCAGGGACCAGTTGAAACCTCACCACAAGCTCTGCTAGCAGCAGCCAGAGCAGCAGCCGAGACCCCGAGCCCGCACCATGGCAGCCCCGCAGAGCAGCTGCTGGCAGCCGACGGCTTTCCAGGCACCGGCGCTTGGCCATGGAAATGCTCCAGCCTTTGTCCCGAAAGCTGGGACAGAGCCAAGCAGAGCAGAAGGCAGCCCGGCCTCCTCCCCTACCATCGGCTCGGCGCAGCTAGCGCCCACGCAGATGCCCCGGCAAGGCCCCCACCGCAGCGCACGGCTGACGGCAGTGCCATCCCCCCCATGGCACGCAGATGCTCTCCCTGCATGCAGCCACATTTCCTCGCCCGAGGTGGAGAAGGGGTGCAGATCCTAGTACAGGGGTGTCGACTGGCACTGGCACCAGTTCCATGACTGGGAACTCACTGGTTATTTTCCAGAGCTCCTGCAGGCTCGTTTGAAGACATTTCTTAACAAAAGGGCTACAAACAGCCTACAGCTTCCTCTCCCCTCCCTCCCAGGCCCCCACAGCATCCCCACACGTGTCCCAGGTAACACAAGACAGGGCTCCTCCATACAATCAGGAGTCACTGGGAAGCAGGACCAGGAGCCTCTCAAGTGCCATGTCACGGGGATGGCACAAAAGGCCCAAGGTTTGCCCTTACTAGCAAAAAAGAGACAATCCTACAGTAGGATATGGGGCATGTCCCAGAGCTTGATCCCCTCCAGCGTTGGAGCCACACACCTGCTCCAGCACCTCAGCAACTTCATGGCTGGAGCATCCCATCGCATGATGCCGCAGCCCCGGCAAGCCTGGAGTTGTACATCCCACCTCCAGCCCGAAAGCCTGGTCCCAAAACGGGGCCAGGCACTATTTCCAGGCAGGGTCCGAGTGCACCCAAGCACCTTTGACAGGGTCTGCTCGCCCACCAGGATGCAAACCCCAGGCTGGACCATCCGGTGAGATGGGCTTTGCCACAACGCAAGGTACGCAGTGCTGTAGGAGCAAGGACCAAACGGCCTGAGCACAGAGCAGCAGCTGCCTAATCCCACCCGGCGCCAGGCTCTGTCCTCACCACCATGCTGTCCCTGCTCCTGGCCAGCCTTGGAGACCAGGGCCACTCACGCATTCCTCTCTGGCTCCCATAATCAGCTTAAAGCAAAACACTTCTTCCTCCTTCCTGTGCAAAACGGCCCGACAATAGCCTTGAGCAGCAAAACCCAGCAGGAAAAGGGAACAGGAACTGGAGCTGTAAACACCTCTGTGCAGCCCTGAGCCTTCGCACCCCTCCGAGCTGCGGGAGGAACGCAGCTCTCCGTGCCCCGGCTCACCACGTCCTCCGTAAACGTCCCGGCTCCAGGCTCCCCAGGCGACCGACGCAGTGGGGAGCTGGGGCAGCTCTCCAAGCCCGGCCCCTCCGTACTGGGGCACGAGCGAGCAGCAGAGCATCATCCCGAGAGCAAACCCTGCCAGCCACAGGGCTCACAGCCACCTCGGGCGAGTGCAAAGTGGGTTCAAATGTGGGAGCAAGCAGATGCTCTCACCCCTCGGCAAGGCAGCAGTGGGACAGATGGCTGCTCGGGGTACCGGCCTCCGCCAGAGGAGAGGGAAAAAGCAAAACCTCCCACTGGCTCTGCAGGCAGGGCCCGGTGCCAGCGAGCCAGGACTGGGCTGCAGGAACAGCCAGCCCCTGGCTTCGCAGTGCGAGACAGGAAATCTGCCCTCGCCTCCATCATCGGAGGGAGATGCGGCATCGCTCAGCCCCTGCCAGGCACCGGGGACACCAAGGGGCAACGCTGAGCCCAGGGGGCTGCAGCCCGTTGATTGCCACCGCTGGGGCAAAATCCCCCAGGGAAATCTAAGTCTCCAGTGACTTTTGCAGCTGCTTGGTCGCTGGGACCCGGCCTAACGCCTGTGGGGCAGGGAGATGAGCGACAGTGACTGCAAATTCACTGCAGGATGCCCCTCTGTTTTCTAAACATCCTTTTCTTCAAGGCAAAGAGGGGTTCAGCCTGCAGCAGGCAGGTGCTTCCCACCCGTTGCCTGCGAGATCCCGAGGGCAGATCAGCGCCCGCCGCTCCAAAGAGCCAGGAGGTCCCGTGGGCTGCTTTGGAAAGCTGCAAAGAGGCTTTCGCTCCGCCGCAACGACATCTGCAGAGCACAGCCCCGCGCCGGCGACAGCTCATCCGCACACGCGCTAGTGCCAAGGGAGGCACACAGGCAGGCATCCTGACATGCACAAATGCACAGGCTCGACACGTGAGCGCCTGTGAGATGGACGACGGGCAGCGCCATGCCCAATGCTCACCCTTTGCAAAGAGCTCTCACAGCTCCACGTGTGCTGCGGGGCTGTGAAACACAGTTTGCTGACCCTCCTGGGCTCAGAAAGGGGTTGCCTGCTTGTTCCTCCCTCCCCGAGCCCAACCTGCCCGCATTCAAACCTGCCACGTACCCTGTTTGCTAGATTAATTTCGCTAGACAGAAAAAGACTCGGATCCTGGACCCTCCATCTCCCACCCCATAAACACAGAGCAGCTTCAGACAAGACAGGGCACCAGCACAGCAGCTCGGAAGCCGAGAGGCTCCTCCGCACACAGCAGTCATGCTTCCCAGCTGCAGGAAAGCCCCCTCCATATTTCCTCGGCGCCTGGGTCTGTCTTCCCGGGGAGGGAGGGACACATGAGCCCCAGCAACCTCACAGGGTGGCCCCCACTCAGGTGTCTCCAGCTCCAGATCTAGAAAGCAGAGGGTGGTGGGGAATCCCAGCACATCTCTGCTGAGAGCCCTAAAACTGGGTATTTTGTTTGCAGGGGGGTGTAGAGATGCTCAGCAGCAATTAGACGGGATCTGCTGGGCTTAGCTCAGACCCAGACCGAATGGCTCACATCAGGGGCTTGAGTCTCTGAGCTCCCTAGGCTTAGTGGGGTTTTGCCACACTGGCTTTACTCCTCCACTATCTCAAGGATGCCTCTTTGTAGGAGCCGAGCCTCCCCACCATGAAGTGCTGAGAACGTAAACCCATTCATTTTTCAAATGGTCAGATATTACAGTGGAGAGCCATGGAAAACCTGGGAAGGCAACTCCTAACTGTCTCCAGGAGCATTGCAACCTCGGGATGCCCCATCAAGCAAGAGAGGACGGTACCCTGAGACCCGAGGCTGGAAGGGCTGGAGGCTCCAGCTGATGCTGGGAACGGGGCAGGGCTCTTAGAGGGCAAACGGCAGGGATCACGCAATTACCAATTGCATCCTAATGTCCTTGCACGTGGGGCCAAATTAAGGTTGCTCCGGAAACTGCATCTCTGACATTTCCTAATCCGAGCGCTGGACACCACGAGCTGCGCGGGGCTCTCTGCGGCAGGGCTCTCCCAGCGCAGGAGGGGGCTGCAGCCATGGGCAGGGCAGCTCCCACAGGCGCCCCAGACCCACCCTGGTCCAGTCAAAGGACAGGCATTTCCATGCTTCGCTGACCTCCCATGTCGCGGAGGGAGCTGCTCACCGCCTGGCCGATCCCAGCGCACTGCTCAGATCCCGGCTACCGAGGCATGGTCTGCTCATACACAGCACAAGCTTTGCTGGATTTGAAATAATTTGGGTGCAAAGCACACGCCTGACACGCAAAGCCACTGACCCAGGACAGCTCTTGGTGCAGAGCAGTCCTTCAGAGAGCAGCCAGGCACCACCGGCACTTGGGCACACGTCCTCTTTGTGCACCTGAGTGTTTTTGACGCATTTATCTGCCATGGCAATGCACACCCAGATCCCTGCTGCAGCACCGAGGCTGCTCTCGCTCTATTATTTATGCCAACTGTAAGAAAAAAAGAAAATCAAAAGAAAATTAAGGCAAAGGGCCAGATCATCACTGGGTTCTCACAGTGAAACAGTTTTTACGCTGCCCACCAGGGAAGGCGACAGACGGCGGCTCTTCAAGAGAGTTCACAGTTCAGACACTGAGATCCCAGGGCAGAGCGAGGGCTCTTTACCCGATCTTGCCTGCAAACATCCCACCTGCCACCACCTTTTGCCACAACAAGACGCTCTACTCTATAGAGAGGTTCCCAGAGGACACCTGGGGAGATCCTTCACTTTATAAACAAGTTTCTTGCCCCAGAGATAAAGCGTGTTTGTGGTCCCCCCAAGAGATTGCTGGGTTTCATGCTGGAACCACTCTGAGTTACAACCAAACTCACTGCGTTCTTTCTGTCAGGTGCAAAATTTCCTCAGTTTTACCCATCTTGCAGCTTGGTTTTCGGTGGACGCCAAAGCCAAACCCAAAAGCAAACCAAGCGCTGGCCTTCCAAGAAGGGTCTGGTCCCCTGCCCGAGGGGAACGGCTGGGCCGGGCGGTGACCCCACAGCTGCACCCGTGGCACGGAAGGAGGGAGCGCGGGGCGGACAGCGCAGCATCGCGCAGGATGACTCAGTTCAGGGAGGCTCTCACAGGAAAGACACACGCCCAAGAGCTTCCTGGCCAGCCGTTCCCACACCCCGCAGCGCTGACCCTGTGCTCCCAGCAAAAACGCCAGCGACCGGTCCCGGTGGGCACGAGACAAAGCCCTCCCCGGGCAGATCCCCAACCTCGTCCCCAAGCACGCCATGCCCTGGGCGCAGGCGTCGCCACGCAGGGAGGTCCCTGACCGAATCTCTCCCCACTGCATCCTGGCGGCATTGCTCCTCACGCCTAATCCAAACACGGCAGAGAAGACATCTCCAGGTATCCACCTCGCTCAGGTGAGCTGTACAGAGCCAGTCCGTTGGCCACTGCT